GTAAAAGGGTCCGAGAAAGACTATGGTTAAATTATATTTCACCCATCGGTAATTTTCTGAATTGGTTCTGAGCACTGGAGTAGAATGCAAAAATGAGAGGTGAAGAGACGCTGTGAGCGCAGCCAAGGGGTCAGATACAGAAGAAAAGTAAGAAGAAATACAAAAAAAAAAATGTATGAGAAAATAAAAATATGAGGGGGCACCAGCTGGAAGTGCCATTAAGGTATCAAAGCAGAGGCTCTCTGCGTAGGTCCATCGATTACTGGGTGGAATAGCCCTGAAAAATGAGGGCCGGTGTCCGCGAGGCTCACATTCAAGCAGCAAGAGTGGTATCAACTTCTTGCAGAATTTGGACCAGACTATCTTGTACAAGAAAAGAGTTAAGCGAAGGTCTACATGAACTGGTTCTTTGAAAAAGGCCATCAATTGTTTCCTAACGTTCAGGAAAAACAGAAAAATTTATCAAGAACCCACGTTTGTCCTTGCTCTGGACTTTCCTTGGACGGCCTGGTCCTCTTTCTTAGCTCGACTGTCTCACTCTAGAATGATCATCAGTCCATAAACACAGCCTCGAGTCAATATTACGGCTAAGGAATGGCGCCCTAAGTAGTGCAATGAGCCGTAAAAGAAGAAGATACTCACGTTGGTTTCCTGTCCATCGGATTCAGCCACGGTGCTTCGCCTTGTCGTATAGACGTTAGCAAGTTCCCAAGACGATCTCGTGCAAATTTCATGTCTGGAGATTCATGCGGAACCATTGAGTCTTCCGCAATCCGAGCACTACAATCGTTCACTATCACGTACTATGGTTATTTGTCATTACCGACGCACCTGATCTGACACTATGAATTGACTCACATATAACATAAAATTCTACAGAAGTGGGTCATATTCTTCGATGTATCCAAATGCACTGGACTTACGAGGGACACTCACATTACTTCTCCGAATTCCTCCACCCACAATGACAACTGACGGGGTCAGTAGGTTTGTAAGGTATTAATAGTTCGAACCTGCATTACGGGGTCGCACACCAACCAACAAACCGCTTTCCTTTCGTCCCCTGTACATTCATTCATTACTAATCGCATTTAAATGAAGTGTTCTACGCAGATACGCACTGATGAATGATCAAAGAGAAGACGGGGAAAGGCCACTGTTGTTGTTTGGGGTGCTTGACTGCCTCACAAAGAGGCATGTTTGTGTACCTACTAGAAGTCTGCGCACAGGAACAAAGCCATATTTCACCTTGTAGTGCAGAACTAGGAATGGCTCATTCATAATCAAGCATGTGTGACATGTCAGACAGAAGTGCAGTGCATAGCTGAACCCAGTGAGCCTGGCTCTACAAAATGATTTTTTTCTTTCGAATTTCTCCAAAACTGCGAAAGCACCACAAGTTTCAGCTATGCCATGTAATTGATCCCAGAAATCCCTACTGCTCAAAGGTCTTGAAATGTCCATTCATAACGATACGTTCCGGTTCCGGCAACTCTGCTCGAACTTTGAATACATTTAACTACCGTTATTATTTAACCTGTGATCTCGTTTACGGCATGATTCTTTTTTACAGTTGTTTTCACAGTTTAAAACCAGATTAATTGCTTCTGGACTTTCAACTTCCCAGTGTGGCAAATCCTCAGGTGTTTCAAAACGAATAATTAAAAAGACGATAACTCATCGCAATCCTCAAACAATATGAGAACTAGAAAAACCAAAGAAAAAATACTTCCGTCGAAAGAATTTTGCTCGGCTTTCATTTTGGATGACTGTTTTCTCACTAAGGAACTCTAAGGACATACCCAAATCGTTTCGTTGGAGACAAAGGCGTTACAAATTCACTTGATGGCTCAATCTGAACTCCTTCACAAGGTCCCAACAAGGATGATTCGTCTGGTATGACAAAATCTTCAACCGCCTGCGGCATTGGTCCTAGATCCGGCTCCATCACTGAAACATTATTTGCGTACTACAAACACTACAACCCGTATAGACATAACTGCAATGCACGTCAATTTTACCAAAAGTTCTTCTCCGTGATAGCGATAACGATTTTGCAGGGATCATGAACCGCTGTAATGAACAACTGCCGAAGACCTCTTGACATTTATTAAGACAGTCATACGTTATGGAAACAATCACAGACAACAAAGTACAGCAAACGACAACAGACTTCAAAAACGTCTTCCTAGCATTCAGTCTCTTTTTTGAGAGACACTTCCAGCTACAGAGTACGCCAAAAATGCTCCAGTGGCTATAGCAGACGAGAAAGCAAATCGAGCTAGCACCAATAGCCAGCCACGAATATGTAGTACGGAGTACAGCATTCTGAAATATAGAAAATTCACAAAGAAACGGAAAATACACACTGCTTTACGCATGAGATAGAGAGCTTGCTCATACCAAATTATCTATGAGTCTAAACCGCTTTACAATTGAAGCACAACAAAACAATCAACTCACTGATTGACAAATGTGTGGAAAACGCAAGCTGTCAGAAGCATGAACACCAAGTGTCTGCTCGCTGCACGAGTTGCCATCCATGTTAAAGCTGCCATAGCGACAAAGAGAATGAGATCAGAAGACGATTCAAGTGCCATCTGAATCCATCGCCACGAGAAAGCCGAAGGCCCTAAATAAGCGGAAAACTCCCATAACGTTTTTTAGAAAAGCTCAAGTGTTATGTTCAAATGTTTACTTTCCAAAGCGATGATGCAATAAACGAAAACTGAAAGCTTCACAGACCTGGCTCCAACCCAGAATAAAATGAAGCTGCTCGCCATCGAATGTGCAGCACCCCACCCAAGTCCGCCCACGAGGAACCGTACCTAAACAAGAGTTGATGAGAAAGAGCAACTAAGGGCCACGGGTCTATAATCGATGTTGAGGTCACGCTGCGAACGAGTCATGTATATATTAAACATGTGCATGAAATGTTAAAGTCCAGCTAAAGACTACTGAAACAAGCAGCAAAGTTCGGGGATGGAAACGTGCATTTTACTGCGCGGGTATCACTGGGAACCAACAAAGTATGCGGCACAGAACACAGAGTTGCACACAGAATACCGTACCCTTGGGACCGCATTCTGACTTCGCGATCAGATCACTCGAGCAACTGGATCGCGCGAAAACGACCGGAGCCGCTACACCGTCAAACGACGCCTCGATGACAGCAACATTCAAAATGGGAGGTGTGCACATAGTGTCAGTTTGAACAATGCCATTGCAATGGTGCATAGCGGTGGAGCGCCCGCAGTCGTGCTCACGCGATCCAGTGGAGCGATCCAATCGCTCGAACAATCTGATTGCGAAGTCTGAACGCGGTCTTAGGCTTCAAAGTATTGGCAAAACGCAGAAAAACAAAACCTAGAAGGCTGTCACTATATACGGCAGACCAAGCAGTAATCTCAAAACGGTGAGTATGCAGCAAACCTGGCGGTGATGCTTGATTCAAAAGGCCTCTTTTGTGACTAGATGGCACAGGATCATGAGGATGGCCAAAAATTCTTCCTTTATAGTAATTTCGATGAACTAGAGGAAAGGAAAAAGACCGCTTCCTCCTTTTTGTGGTGCGCTTCATAGCTTTCTTGAACCTTTTGCTCAGAGAAGAATTCTCTGTGTGGATCAACCGCTCCACGTTCGCTCTATACCACTAATCAAACTAATTGTCTAGACATTTTAGGCAAGACTGAACTGACCTCTCCCTTTCCATTGAGCAGATGTGTCATTACAAGATGCATACCAATGACATCAACAACGTCCGCGCTGCTCTTCAGTAGCTCCTAAACAAGCAATAAAACTCAGCGGTCAACAGATTCAACAGAATGTGACAAACGAACCGGGAGAACTGCAAATCCCTCAGTATCACCAGCGGGGAAAAACGTAGCCAAAAGTAGCAGTTTAATCAGTTGTGTAAGAAAATAACCACCACCCGCTTGAGCACATCGCCAAAATGAACTATATTCGTTTAGACCTAAAACAGGGAAAAATAGTTGCGGTAAGTCAACTCAACAATTGGATGGAGGTGAGAATAGAAGTATCAGAACAACCTAGAGTAATAGGCTGTTCGCAGAATGGAGCGAAAAGCTGTCAACGAGAAACAGTCATGCGCACGTGCCTTCCCACACCTGGCGCCTTAACGCCTTATGTTCTACGATGGCGCTTATTCCGCCATCTTTTTACCCCATCATCCTCTCATATCTGACAAAAATGATGTTGGAATTTTAAATCACGGTGGAGGAAGGAATAAGGAAGATAAGTCTTCTACAAATATCTGAGCTTCTCCGCATACAGGGTGTTTTCACAGACAAGGGAGAACGTCTATTGTGTGTGTGTGTCGCGAGCGGTTCCCTGCCCGCTACCAGCGACACTGGGTACCAGTTAAGACTTTCCGTCGAGCGCCGACTCTAGCATGTGTGGCACATGTATGGCATCGGAGTGGTGCTCGCCTCTTTTATTGATTCTATTCCTTGAGAATCACGCAGGAAAACTCAGTGAAAGGCGTGTGCACAATGAGTTTTTCGACTGCTGAACGACAAAACCATTGTATCAGGTTGCCCCACTGCCAGGGAACAGCCTAGCGACTGCGTCTTCGCTACA